GAATAATTGATATTTTAAAGTTGCTCCAATTCAAATGACTTTTTGAGGCCCCCCCCCCCCAAAATATGTTTTTGTGTCGTACTTGAAGCGTGTCTTATTTTTTGAGGTGGTGCTAGTTGTAAAATAAAATATGTGATCCGCCGATCTAATGAAACGGTGTCATTGCAACCTGCAGAATGTCTTGCTGCTCGGCGAGAGGACGTGCGTCCTACCACTGAGGGCCCCCCCATGTGCATGTGGAGAGATGGATCGCTGTAAGCACGTGGTGCGCCTTCGCCTGGGCCACGACCACTCCATCCTCAATCCGCAGAAATGGCACTGCGTGGACTGCAGCACCACCGATTCGGTGTGGGCTTGCCTCAAGTGCTCCCACGTGGCCTGCGGACGCTTCATGGAGGAGCACTCGCTCAAACACTTTCAGGAGTCCCACCACCCGCTGGCCATGGAGGTGCGGGAGCTGGACGTCTTCTGCTTTGCTTGCGGAGACTATGTCCTCAATGACAACGCAGAGGGAGACCTCAAGCTCCTCCGAGGGGCCCTCTCCACCGTTCGCAACCCCGGTACGCGCTCGCTGCGCTCCTCGGTTTGGCGGGCGTACACCCACCGGGGCGGGGAGAACGGGCCGCAGCCTCCCATGCAGCTGGCGTTGCGTCACAGGAGAAAAACCCTCCTGGCCAAGATGCTTCAGAGGTGGACGAGCAGACATAAAGAGCTGCAGGCGGAGCGCCAAGAGAAGCTGGAGGAGGCGAGAAGACAAAAGAAAGAGGTGAAAAGGAGACTGTTGGAAGAGCTGGGCAGCGTCCCGCCCAGAAAGAGCGCTCGGCTTCTCACTCAAGCGCCACGTTCAACCATCACCCTCATTCCCTGTAAGTTCCGAGACCCTCCGGTACGCCTACCTCCTCCTCCTGCTCCGCCCAAGAGGCCTTCCCTCCTTGCCTTGTCACGAAAGCCCCCCACGAACGGCAGAGCTGCAAAACTGAGGCGCTACTACTCAGCCCATTCGGCGACCCGCCGACGCCTCGCTCCGGGGGTCACCGGTCTGCGTAACCTGGGGAACACATGCTACATGAACTCCATCTTGCAAGTGCTGAGTCACCTGCAGAAATTCAGGGAGTGTTTTCTCACCTTGGACCTGTGCGAGACCGAGGAGCTGCTGGCCAAGACCAACCACGCGCAGGAGGTGAAGGCGGTAGCCGGAAGCGTGGTCAGCAGCGCGAACATGCCTCTGACCTCATGTCCCCTGGGACGCGTGGGAAATCTGACGGTGGGCAAAAAGGAAAGCCCCCCGCCCACCCCGCAGACTGCCGAGTTGGTCCAGCCCAAGGAGACTCGTTGCTCCACCCGCCAGCAGATGTCTCTGTGCCATGAATTGCATACTCTTTTCAGGGTCATGTGGTCGGGGCGCTGGTCTTTGGTGTCTCCCTTCGCCATGCTGCATTCAGTGTGGAACCTCATCCCGGCTTTCCGCGGCTACGACCAGCAGGACGCGCAGGAGTTCCTGTGTGAGCT